TAAAAATTGTACAGCACGGCTTCTCTGACAAACACCAGTGTGACAACAGGCAGCATGATATTCCCAGAGCGGCCTCCTGGATCTGCTCAGGCCTTTCTGCTGACGGCAGTGCCGTCAGGAGGTGTCGGTGACTGGCAGCCACGTCAGCCCTGCCCTGCAGAGACAACAGGGTTACAGGGAGGTGACCTGGATTCTAGCGTTTGTTTTGCACTGCTGAAGTGTTTGCTAGGCCCTGAGCACCAGCACCTGTGTGATGCCACCAGCTGCAGTGTCATCGTGTCAGTGTCACTGCGCTGCTGTGGGCCAGGCAGCTGGTGAATGGCGCTGCTGCTGCACGGGAAGGCAAAGGGCCAGGCTGCACCTCACGCCTTGGAAATGCAGCCCCGACAGCCAGGCCCTGGGGAGGAGAAGGGTACCAGGCTCTGCAGGGGATGGTTGAAACAGAAAGGCTGTCGAAGCTGTGGGGAGGGAGACAGGACCTGCCAAACAAACAAAAAAAATGCATGAAAAAATACAGCTCTGAGCTGAAAGAAGTGATAGTGAAATCAGAGACAGGAGCTGCGAGGAATGTCGTCATCAGCAATAAAAAAATGCAGTTTAGTAAGAGCTGACCTAGGTGGCAAAGCGTGAGTCAAAGGAAGTGCTGAGCCGTGAGTCATCAACCTCAAAGGCCTTTATCCTTGGAGAAAAGTCAAACAGGCAGCCCAGAGAGAAAAAGGAGTAATGGAAAGGAACAGAGGCAGCAGCGAGGCACCGGGCCTCTTCAGAGCGCAGAAACTGAGTGAAGGACAGGGCTGGTATCAGCCCGCTGCGCTGCCTTGGAGCTATTTCTGGCCAGGCACATCACACGCTGCATGTTGGACAAATCCAAGTGTCAGGCTCCTGCCCTGGGGAACATAGTCGAAAGCACGAATGAGAACTCCAGCAAGAGCAGAGAGAGGAAAGTGGTACAGAAAGCAAGTCACATCACTAAAAGGGGGCTGAAAGAAATAAATACAATAAATAAATACATATACTTTTTTCTTCTTCTTCTTCTTCTTCTTCTTTTATCATGACTTTATTAGCACTCTGCAGGCACCTGGGCTTGAAATTATCAGCCCAAAAGGGCAGAGCAATTTGGGGTTGCATATGCACGAACCTTCTAGGGTATCTTCCAAGTGGCGACCTGGTCAGCAGCAGCCAGGCTGCCCTTGTCAGTTCGGCAGCTCTGGGCAGAACAATTCTGGCATGCTTATGGTGAGCTCAGAAGAAGAGCAAGACAGCAATTAGCCAGCTGACGTGGCTCGGTCTTAAGGAGAAAGATGAGAAGTGAGAAATTAATACAGAAAATTACAGGTCAGATAAAGGCAACTGCGATAACGATCAATGCATTTTTGGAGGGTGGAAACACAAAGCGGAGTGAGGGATTATTTAAGATGGTACAAAAAGGGGATGGAGGTGACTAAGAGATTGTTCGAGAGACGTAGAACAGAACGTGGACAGGGGAAGAGGCTGCACAGCACCACGCAAGTCTAAACACAGGTTGACTTATGAGGTAGTCCTAGATTACAGGGAAGCATCAGGAGTGACAGGAAGAAATAAACAAAATGAGCATGCAGGATTTCATGCTGTTCCAAGGATTGTATTGGAAAACTCATCATCAAGGCATGGCTAGTAAAGAGGCAGGATAGAAAACAAAAGAGAAAAGGGAGGTGCTCTTGGTAGTCACATCAGTAGTGCCTTCTGCTTTGGTAGGAGAGCTGGGAAAAGGGAAAAGGAAAATTACAAAGGCTCCACTGGAAAATAAAACGCAGATTTACTACTACAGGAGTCAAGCAAACTGAGAACAGAGCCATGAGCATGTTTCCATGTGCCCAACTTGGTTTCACTGGTGTGAAGCTAAATCATCTCCGTTGATTTAATGGACATGAGCTGTGTTTAACAATGAGGCAGCTGACAATAGAAGCTGACTCACTTACATCCTGGGCAAGAGCTGACATGATCAAAAGTACCAGAAGCCATGCTGAGATACAGTAGGAAGAGAATGAAACAGGTGGAAAAATCCCAAAGGTTCTCCATGATTCAATGCAAACCTTTTCTAGAGGGTGCTGGGAGTGCTTTATGTGAATGTATACTACATTAAAAAGGAGACAGATTCCCCAAATACTTTTCCTCTAGTTAACAGAAAGACTTTTTGTAACTGCTCATGAACAACACGTCATGGAAGACGCACCTAATGGATTCATTAGGAATTGCCCACCCTGACAATTTCTTGCCCAAATCCTACATACCATACTGGGTACTGAGAACACAGAAACACATCAACAGCACACCCTGCAAACAAAAGAGTTTAAAACAGATTTTTTTTATTTTTTTTTGTGCAGTTTAATTTTCTGACTTGTTAGTTCTGGTTTTAAGTAAGGGACTCCATGTTGTCGTTCCTCCCCTATCAGATGGGAGAAAACAGTGAAAAAACCTTGGACACACAAACATGCACGTAGGTCATGCTTTTGACATCCTAATAGAACAAATATAGCTTTGGGGAGGAAAGAGTAAGAAATAATCAAATTGAACAAAAACTTGGGATGCTCGTAATGCAGAATTATAAATTAGAAGCCAGAAAATTAACCCCACAGAAGGCCAAAATAAGGAGAAAGGGTGAAATATCTGTAGTACTTACCAGATTACTGAAATCAAATTTTACAACATTTTTTAGGCATGTGGGATTTTTATTTATTTAACATACAAAAAATATATCTTGGTATGTTTACAGAATAAACAAGTACACATTCTCCATTTCTGAATAATGACAAATACATCCAATATTAATGCTTTATACTAAGGTACATCTGTGTATTGTTTGCCTCATGACATCTCTAAAACAGAGAGAAAAATATTGTTAAACTAGAAAGCATCAATAATGTGGACTTGTAAACAAAAAGAAAAGTTATGTCTGTAGGGCTTAGAAATAATATGTAAATAGAGAACTAATGCCATAATGCAGATACATGATTCATGTTTGTACCGAGAAAGCCTGGAAAAAGAACCCAACATCCCTATATTTATTCATTTTAATGCATTGCAGCACGATGTTTTGGACACAAAGTGAGCTGCCAAATGAAATAACTTGCATAGAAAATTAGTTATAGGAAGTGTTTGGGAAGATTGAAGAGCACCATTAGTAACATTTTCAGCATTACTCTAAAAATTATTTCAGCCTATTCATTCCAAGAGAAAGAAACTTGCATGAAAAATTTTTGTTTCTCTCACCTTCAATTTTGTAATTTATCCAGAGAATACCTTGGGAAAAAAATGAAAAACAAGAGAGCAGGTTGGATTTTTTTTTTTTTCATTTCCCTTTTATCTGTACAGTTAATAACTGTCTGTATGTAAATAACTTTACATGCATTTATGAGTTTAAAGTGCAGGATTACCCATATTTGTAGAAAACTCCCGTTGCACAAGAAATGTAAGAAGGCACAGCATGAAACAGCGAACACAAAGAAGGCTTAAGAAGACAAAAATTTACAGCATAACTGTACGGCCATTTGTTTTACTCCTGTCCATGTATTAATGGTCTGATTACAAATATTTAAAACTATTATTGCTGTTTTGATTGCAAAGATTATTTGTGTTCATTCCAGTGACTTATAATAGAATCAAGTTATGGAAAAAAAAAATAAAACAGATCAAACCCAACTACATTAAAAATGCAATGGATAATTTATGGATCATTAAAAACATAAGCAACTCTTTTAACTATCCAATAAATCAACAATTGCAGAAGTATTTTAAATTTTATTAAAAAACCCAGGAAACTTATAAATCTCATTTTACGCTCCAATAGGATACGCAAATTGGTTTATTTTTTTTCCTTTCAGCTGCTAGACGAGGAACCAAATCAGTTTTCCAGCGGCTGATCAGACAGCGGGCTGACTGCAGGAAGACATGCAGCCCCCAAGGGGCGATTGCCACAAACCTCTCTGACAGTTTGCCCAACATTTTCCTTCTTCGAGGTTGAAACAAGCCCAGCTGCTCTGCTCAGGGACGCTCTCTGGAGAGGACAGAGTGGGATGATGAGAGCTCCTGGGTCACAGCCTCCCGGCCCCAAAGTGAGCCCTTGGCTGACTGTGCCTGGGCAAACTCTGCACGCACACAGGCGATGATGTGCAGGCACCTCTCAGTTATGTCATTCTGTTTGTTTCTGAACCGTTAGGTAGCAAGTGGCAGGGCGTCTTCAGCAATCTTCCAATATTGAGTTGGTATTGTCCTGCTCCCGGAGGTGATGACCCTAATCTGATAGTTCAGAGCTCGACTCCCTCACAGGGTGGCAGTATTTAGTCCAGTGCTCACATAGAATCATAAAGGTTGGAAAAGACCTTCAAGTTCATTTGGTCCAACCATCCCTCTACCACCAATGTCACCCACTAAGCCATGTCCCTAAGCACCACGTCCAACCTTGAACACCCCCAGGGACAGTGCCTCCACCGTGCAGGGAATGATGACTGCATGGCGGTGGTGGAGCTCTGTGCATCTCCACACAAATTCCATGATCATTAGAGAGAGATCCCCAACCTTTAACGTTGATGGTCTGACCCAATTATTGGCCAGACAGAGGAAAACGTAAGATGACCCAGCTAAGCATCAGCTCGTACCCCAGCCCTCCACCTTCTGCCAGACTCTTTCTGCCAAGACTAAGACCTGAGACTAAGACCAACAACTCTAGCCTAACACCCTATAAACCCTGGAGCTTCCCGGCACCCTTTTAGCACAGAGGGCACCACATACTCCCTATAACAGGAACCCACAGCGACCACCTGGGGGTAAACCCTTTGGGGGGGACCCCCTGAGGCGTGCCCCCAGGTGGTTGAGGCGCTGCGCCACCCACCCCAAGAGCCCCCAGGACGCGATTTTAGAACTGCACCACCCTAAAAGCATCAAAGGAATAGGTTATGCTCCAACACCAGGGCTCTGCTGGCACCCCAGCCCCCTGCCCGCCGCCGCCTCAGCCGCGGGGGGCGCCCCTTCCCTCAGCAGCCGGGGCCGGGCGCCGCCATGTCGCGGTCCGCCGCGGCTGCGCGCCGGCCGCCTCCTTTCGCTTCTCCGCCACGGTTCCGCCTCCCTTTTCCCTACAGCGGAGGCGGAGGGAGGAAAGCCGGGAGCGGGGAGCTTCCCGGGGCCGGGGCGCTTCCCCTCGCCGGGGTATGCGAGAGCGCTGCCGGCCGCGGGGCCGACGAGAGGCGGGCGGGGAGGCGGCGGCGGCGGCGCCCCTGAGGGAGCAGCGCGGCGCCCCGGCGGGCGGCGGCAGGCGGGCGATGGAGGAAGGTGAGGGGCCGGGTGTCAGCGCCATCCCTCGCCCCTGAGGGCTGCCCCGCCGCCCTGTGTGCGTCCCCAGGGGGGTTTTCTGTGGGGTGCCCCTTTTGTGGGGTGGAGGGTGGCGTTTGGCTTAGCCGGGAGTGGGCAGGGTGAGGAGTAGGGGAGGAAGGGAGCTGCGCTGTGTCCCAGCCTTTTGGAGGGTTTTGGGGCTGGGTGTGGGCTCCTGGGATGCACAGGTTGGGATGTCCCTGTGTGAGCTCTGTGGTGTGAGCTCGGAGCCCTGAGGGTGGTGTGTGGTGGGCGACCTGCTGCTGGCCTGGCACGGCATCAGGGCCGTGTCCTCTGGTGGCAGGGCTGGAAAATAAAACCCTTTACTGGTGTCTCTGCACCCTCCTGGTGCCCTTCCCTAGCTGGTAGGTCTCTGTGGTGCTTCTCTTGGTCATCTTTGTCTGCAGACTGAGAGAAATAATCCCAACACGCTTCCTTGAGGTGTGAACGGGAGCCGCTGCGCAGCCTCGACCCTTCTTGGGGTCCCTCTCTGAAAGTTTCCTGGTCCTGCATTATCCATCCGTCAATCCGAGGGCAAAAATCGCAGATAGCGGTCATTTACTGCCAAAAAATGGACTAAAAGACTGTCACAGAGGAGCAGTAGCTGCAATAGAAACACGAAACAAAGTCGCACACGATCGCTAAATGAGTTAAAAAAACTTAGGGGAACTTGCAGGAAAGTAGGGAGCGATTGTGGATGAAAAATTGCTTGCTGGAGGGAGACACTGGAGGCTGTGCCATCAGTTCAAAATGCTGGATTATTTTTAGTCGTCACCTTGGTTGACTTTCATTTCACCCCATTTAAAAGGATGCGTGGAAGTGCAAACAGCATTTTTCTTGTTTGAGGCAGCTGCAAATTAAGCAGAAATAGCATCCTTGGACCTTCCTTTATTATTGTTTCTTCTGAGGGGGAAATCTGTTGAGCAGTTTTCAGATTGGGGTGAAGATCACTTGCGGACTGAGCTGTCGTGGTTTCAGAATTAGGCTTTTAAATTGTTCTTTGTTTAGGAGTTTTGTATTGCTGACTAGACTTTACAAGCATCTTACGCTTCTAGTTTGGCTCACTAAAAAAAGGAAAGAAATGCATTTTCCCCTGCTACTTCTTTGGTCATAGCTCGGATGACCAGGGCAGGCAGTTGTCTTTCCAAGCACCCTGCACATTCTGGTGATGTAAATATTTTCTCCCGTTTTATCTTGTCTGATACAAATGACTCCCAGTTGCAGTGCACTCGGTGTTTGCATTGCTGATTGATTTAAGGACACGAAGGGTTACCAGTGAACTTTTCCTTTTGGATTGACCTAATGGTAAATGCCATATTGAGTGCCTTAAGCATTTTTTTGTTGAATATTGTTCTAATTCTTGTTATGGTTAAGAAGCTGGACATTTTCTATTCATCGTACCATGAAAAATGATACAATTGAGATCTTGGTCTGCTTAGAATACTTTATAATTGCTTTGAAAATCCCATTAAAACACAAAGGCAGGTTCAGCATTACGGGCAGACACCACTTTAACAGCTTATTTATACTTCTGTCCTGTGTCTAACTTCTAAATCTAATAGTTGGGGTTTAAAAGTAGATCGATTTAGATGTGAAGTAATATACTGCCAGAGTAATTAGCAACTTTATTGTGGGATGGCAAGACTGACACTTGGGAGTTTAAAGTTGAATGGCTGCATGAAAGCTCTCTTTTAAGTCCAGAAGAAATCACTGGTTGAAGTTTTGTAGCCACTGTAGCTCAAATTAGATAGCTAAGAGGTCTGGAGTGCGAATTACAGATAACCCTTTTCCTCACGCTTCTGAAATTACATTAAGTATTGTGGGATGTCATCTTGAATATAGTAGATATTGCACTCAGAGAATTAGCCTCGTTACTTCTCAGACCATAAAATAAATGGGCCAGGGCTTCACACTGCTGTTGTGTACAGAAAACAGAAACCGAGGTCCTCAGCGGTGATGTGAAACGAGCTATGTGGCCTACCAGACGGGGCCTTTTAAGTATATGTTACACTAAGAATTCATAAATCAGCTTAATGCCAATGGATTTGGAAGCAGGAAAAGTGTTATGATGAAAGCTTTCATCAAGGTAATGTAACAAGAAAATCAGACAGCTCAATTTAAAAGCATTGGCTAGCCCAGTTTTTATGTTATAGTCATGTTCTTGGTGTGCAACTCTACTATGGCCATGTAAAACCAAAATGAGAGCAGAATTAAATTGACTCCAATTTCTCCCAGTGTCAACACCAATCCATCTAAACTTCCTCCTTCCTTCATTTCTATAAAACGTTCCCAAGAGATTAAAACAGTTAACTTCCAGTTTGAGTCAGGGTAATCCCAGAGTGTGGCCTCAAGAGAAAATTACTGATTTTTCTAAGGAATAACAAGGGATTGACCTCTGTAGTTAGAATATTATTTTAGTTGTGCATATGAAATAGTTCAGCTGAGTCTTTTTGTCAAATGTATTTGCTGTGTGGCTGAATCCCTGGCAATAACTGGCTGTTACCTGCTGCTGTGTGGATTTCTCAGAGTGATATTTTAGCTATTCTGTTGCAATAACTTGAGAAAAATGTCTTCAGGGGCAGCAGACCTGCGACAGAGGAGGAAACAAAACTGCACAGAATCTGACAAAATGGCTCCAGAGGAGAGAAACAAAGAAAACTCGAAGCTGGGAAGATCGCCAAAATGTAAGCTACAGAATTTTTAGCCAACTTCTGATTTCTTTTTTCATATTCTTTTACGTTTTATGGGAAGATATTTCTAGCACAGTAATTTATAACAGACTTATTTTGCATTGGGTTTTTGAGTGTTTCAGGAAAAAGCATGCATGCACATTAGGATTCTTTAGTAATGCCATTTTATGTATTGCAGAGTAAAATGCTAGTCCTGGGTCGTTTCAGTTGGAGGGGGGAGGTGTTAGGAATCTTCTTGTTGGCTATTTGAGTGCAAATAAATATTTTAATTGCACCTGGAGTTATCTTCCAGTCGAGAAGCTGAAAGGCAAGTTAATGGTATTGAAACAATAGTCAGAAAGTCACTTTTTTTCTGTTGATGCATTTAAGGATTTTATGGTGTTTTGGACAAAGTTAAGAACTTTTTCTCATTACTTGCAATTCATTTTTCCTTCTTGAAATCCCTTTGAAACTGAAGCTTGTTAGAACAGAGAGGAATTTGCAGTGGAGTGTGTGGGCATTGTATGCAAAAGGTCTGTGAAGCAGTGGTGAGAAATGAGATGAAAACTGCAGGAAAGGAACAGCAGCACGGTGTTTGAAGGATCTGTGGTGATGGTGGTGGGATAATTCTGATGCCAGGACGCTGACCTGCTGTTCAGCAACAAGTCACGCCGAGGGCATCCTGTTTGTATTTTAAGTCCTCTGGATCACTTCGGCTTTTCCACTCTCCCTTTTTCAGATTTGTTAATTCAACGGTTTGCGAAACTTTTCTTTGGCTGTCTCGCGGCGGTCACCAGCGGCATGATGTACGCTGTGTACCTCTCAACGTACCACGAACGGAAATTCTGGTTTTCCAGCAGGCAGGTAAAGAAAAAGTTAAGTTCCTGAAACAAAAGCCAGATTGTTTCCTTGAAATTAAAGCCGCTCCATGCCAGGTTGGAGCTGCTTGCTTTCAGAATCCCATGCCTTTCTGCTCAGGCCTCTGTCTTTGAAGTAGTTCCTTACAAAAATAAAGTGTTTCTGCTTCAGAGAGCAGTCTTGTCTTATCATGTTTTTCTGCATTTTTCCGTGCCATCCTTTACAGTTGAAATAACTTTTCTAAAATTGAGATGAAAAAAGGAAGCGTAACGGGGTTGTATAAACTAAGCATCAGGCATGTATGTTTTTTTTAAGAACTGTATTGTTTAGCGAGGTATGGAAAGTCGAATGAGATTCAGGTCTGAGAATATGAAATGATCCTGTGGAGTTTTTGCTAACTTACTGTGTGGATTTGAGTTTCGCCGATTCTGAGATCTGATTCTGAAGTTGTAGGGAGTGTTGTGTACCTGACAGAGGTGCTGGGAAGATTAATGTTTTGCGGAGTACTTTAAAGATGTACGGGGGAGTCATAAGCATGTGCTGTATTGCAAAACCAGTCTGTCTGAAAATATATGGTCTTCCATGGGAAGAGATTGCAGGAGGTGAATATATATTTCTTTTTTTCTAGGAACTTGAACGAGAAATTACATTTCAGGGTGACAGCGCCATTTATTACTCATTCTATAAAGAACTGCTAAAGGCTCCTTCCTTTGAAAGAGGTACAAAAACGTTTATTTTATTAACCTTGAGAAGTTCAGTTCTCTTTTTGGAGACGGTTAAAAGTCCTGCAGGCTAAGCAGGCTGACTTTTGTACTCCTGTGTAGGTAAATTGGTCAGATTTATTAAAACTGCACGCTGACCTAACTTTCCAGAGCAGGATTAATGTTATGCTGATAATGCCACATATGTTATCGGGTGTGCCCGTGCTACGTCGTTGATTTTTAGCCTTTTAAGTGTATTGTTCTTTAATTTGGAATGGCAGACTTGTGTTTTAAGAGGACTTAAAACACAATTAGCTGATGGAAATTACTGTTTCATCCCGTCAGAAGCTAGAACAGTTTCTGTCCAGAGATGATGTGCTCGGTCCTGTCCCTGCCAGCAGTTTCTAAACCTGTCAGCTGTGATGAGTACTTGCTGATGAGGGCTGAGCAAAGGGGACAGAAGCCACGAGGGAGGAGAACGAGCTGGGTGGCAGTGGTTTCTCCTCCCTTTGTGCTCCTTTTTACCCTGCGCTGGCTCTGGAGGTCCCCACCATCCATAACCGGGTCGGGTTCTTGAACCAGTGGGAAATGAAAGCAGCGAAAAGAAGCTTGAACAGTGCTGTGCTGTTTCAGTGAGTTCAGAAGAGCACAGGGGGAAAGGTGAGACTGCTGGGAGGGAGGGAGGAGTGACCAGCCCTGTCTTGCAGCAGCCAGCTGTTGAATTAGCTCAGTCCTCTTATGAAACCCCATCCTAAGCCAGTTGAGCTTTATGGGGATGGTTTTATTGGTAGCGGTTTCCCAGCTGAAGTGCAGCAGATGTCAGCAGCGTGCAACGTGGCTGTGGAACAGTCGATTCCTTATTATCTCCGGGAAGATTACCCGAGCTGGGGATGGATGGGCTGCCTCATTCACAGGCTGGCTCTGCAAACAGGTAGACTCATGTGTCCACGAGGCGTTCTGGAGGCGTGCAGTTTTCAAAGGCTTTCATGGCCCTGCTGAGCCCAGCTTGGAGCTCTGTAAGACCTGGTTTGGCCTGCAGAGAACCAGATGCAGACCACACACCAAGACATATTCAGAGCTGGAAACAGTAATCTTTGCTTGCTGCACTGTTGTTGGGTTTATTGTTCTTTCTTTTTTTTTTTTTTTTTTTAATATGGATTATTTTTCTCCTTCCCTCCATTGTCCTAAATAATGACAAGTTATTTTTTAAATCATAATATCCCTGAGTGATGTGGCCTACAAGTGTGCCAACTTCAGCTTCATCTCAGTCCCGTACAAAGGCATGCTGTGTTAGGTGAGTGGTTCTTAGAAGTCTCAGAGATGCAGGGCTGGGAAAGTTGACAAGGCCATCGAGTCTGACATCTCTGTGGAGACGAGTTTAATACGTCCTGCTCATCCCTGGTGGATCTTTGTCTCACTTCTTAAGAAGCTCCTGTGAAGGTGATCTGTTGGGAGCTTGTTCCAGGACTACATCCATGTGTTGTACCTGAAAAGACTACATGTTAACTGATTAGTTTTGGACCTTCCACTTAAAAAGTAGTTCAAAAGACAGTAATAATTTTGTTGCAATACCAATAGTGTGGAACAGCATCTAGCACAGTAACTTCTCCTTCCTTTTAAAATCAGAAATGTTCAATCAGTTAATAGCTTCAGCATCCAAATCTGTTTCCCCCTGTCTTTGTGTATACTTTTCATCCCTTTTAAGAAGAGTAATAGTGTTTCCAAGAATAATGTATTTTCTTTTGCCTGTAGGTGTTTATGAGCTGACACACAACAATAAGACAATATCGCTGAAGACGATAAATGCAGTCCAGCAAATGACTTTGTACCCAGAATTGATTGCCAGCGTGTTGTATCAAGCATCTGGTAGTGAAGTATGTGCGTTTCTCCTGCTTCCTGTGCTTTCAGTGTATGTGTGCGTGACTTGCTACGCTGTGTGCAGTAAATTCATGCAATTTTTCTGGAGTGAGTTGAGCTAAGCCTAGCGCCAGGTCCAGGTTCTCCTCAATTCCCATCAGTCTTTGGAATAGGATGGGGGGTGGGGGAGTTCCATGCACTAAACCTTTCTGTCTGTTGTTTCTTTACTTCTGCAAACCCCTTAGAAATGCTGGGAGGATCTGTGCCATCCATTAAAAGTTAGCTCCTTCAGAGTACTGAGCAGTGCTGCCTGTCTCTGTCCATTCAGTAACAGGGAAATGGATTTTTGTAGATGAACCTTTTGTCTCTTTCTGCTCCACTTGGGCTTTGTTCTGCTTACGCTGCATACTCGTCTCCTCCCTTATGCTCTCTCATGTAACTTTTTTATTTTGTATATGTTCTCCTCTGTGTTTGGAACCATTTTTACCACATCTTTACATTTCCAAGTTCCTCTCTTACCTACTTCCTTTCAGTGAACCTTATATTTCACTGCAGTATGGATTCTTTAAATCCGACCCGTGCAGAGTTCATGCTGTAGCAAATTCCAAAATCATGGCACTAGCAAGCTGAGTCCTGAGTGTGCTGTTAGCAGACACTGCTTCCTTCTCCCTGAACCCAAAAAAAAAGCATGCTTGATACTCTCCTAGAATTGGGGCCGCCTCTCACCTGTTTGTAAAGCACCTAGCACGCATTAGCAATGTGCATATAGTAAGTAGCAATACTTTCCAGCTTCAGCTCAGTTGCCGCTATGTCTCTTCGTTTTTATTTGTAATTTCAGGAAGTTATTGAGCCAGTGTATTTCTACATTGGTATAGTTTTTGGACTGCAGGGAATTTATGTGACTGCATTGTTTGTAACCAGTTGGGTTATGAGTGGGACTTGGCTGGCAGGAATGCTGACTGTAGCATGGTTCATTATTAACAGGTAAGAAAAACATCTTTATACAATCTAGTTTGCCACTAAGGCGTTTAAAAATACGAGAGTGGGTTAAAAATGCTTTCCCTTAAACTTTGTGTTCTCCTTGTGAGAGCTGTGCTGAATGCAGAGGGTTTCCCGGAGATGCACTGACTCTGACGATGCCTTGGGTAATGGAAATTGTCTTTTGTCGTCCAAACCAGCCACGCTGTCAGTTGGCCTGAGCTTATGGCAGCGTGTGAATGCATGGGTGTTTTCACACGAGTCCATTTTGCAAAAACAGTCGTCAGAAGGAGTTTGGTTTTGTTCTGATGAAGAATAAAAACAAATTTCTGAAGTTGCTGAAAAGAGAAGTATTGTCTGTGGCCAGCTCCGAACATTGTGACCATTGTTCTGTTGCTCAGAAGGAAATGACCAAGTGCATTTTTTCTGTAAAGGGTCTTTGATTATTATTATTTTTTTTAATCTGCTTTTTGTGGATTTTTTTTGTGCAATATGGAATCTTCTTAGACGATTCTGACCTCAGGATTTTTTTTCATTTTGTAACATTTCACTTGCATGAAAATGCCCCTTCCCTTTGTGAAACACCACAATAATAGGGAACCTCATTTAGGCAATGAGAACTTGTCTTCTGATTCCTCGTTTGTCACCAAATAGCTCTGGGGATTTCTGTGAACTTGAGAGTACTTATTTGCCCTAAAAATGTTGAAATCCTCTTTAAAAAAAAATGAAAAAAAGGCAATAAAGCAATGGAAGAGCAAAGTGTTAGAGATGTGCTTTTAAAACTGAGCTGTTGGGAAGCGTCTTTGAGGAGTGTGAAGTTATCACGACCAAATCCATGATTAATAGCTGAAAATACTGCTCATCAAGCTGAAGTGAGCAGTGGAAAGTAGGAAAAATGGTGAATAAATGTGTATATATTTTTTTTTTCAGCAGCAAGGAAGATTAAACACAGTTAACAAATTGAAAGGTCTGGTAGTTTAAAAAAAAAAAAGCTCCAAATACTCCTCTGTGAGGCGCTTCAGAGGTAAAAATGAAAGGTGACGCTTTCAAGTTCCTAAATGACAAAGGAGCTCGAGGCTCCTTTTTAAAAGCACAGGAGGCATAAAGAAGGCTATGTGCCTCTGAAACCAATGGCTTTGATCACGTTTGAAAGCGCGACTTGTGCTTCTAAGTCGCTTTAGCACTTTTTTACAACTTTCTCCTCCAGTTCCAATTGTGCAGGCGCCGTCGAGTCATTCCACGAGAAGATCCCGCTGCTGTTCTGTCCTGTGCTTCCCAGCCATCTTTAATCCCTCGTTTTGCTGGGGAGAATTTTCCCCATAGGCCAAGTATCTGCTGCTGCACTGCTTTGGATTCGGAGTACGTTGTGCTCGATTGCCTAAGCTGCTTTTTAAAACATAGGAGAACAGAAAAGGCTCTTCTCTCTCAGCTGATGCTCATGGTAACATAAAAAGCTGCTGTTCCAGCAGTGGTCCCCAGCCTTTGGGCTTGTAAATGCCACCTCATATGGAGTTGTGCTGAATAAGTGAGTCCAGATTGGACCTTCCACGCTGATATTAAATTTGTGACCTGCATCAGCAGCAAAATTGTGTCTGTGTTGCTTGAAACCTAATACCGGAATAGCTTGCTTGCGAGGCCACGCTGGTAACTGGAAGTGACATTTAGGCTTTCCTTGATATTTGTGTTCCATAAATCTTTAATAATTTTGTTTGTCTGTACTTTATTCTAGGACAGATACAACAAGAATTGATTACTCCATACCGTCAAGGGAAAATTGGGCTTTGCCATATTTTGCATGTCAAGTAGCAGCTCTCACAGGCTATTTAAAAAAAAACCTAAATTGTTCTGCAGAGGTAAAACTCAGTTAATTTCTTCATAAAGAGTTGGTGGTGGAACTGTGCGCTCTAGAGTAGTTCCCTCTTTGTCACTATTGCCCTCCTAGGCAGGAAACAGTAGATGTTTTGTTTGTCCTTCTCAAAGCCACCACTTGGATTTCTCCTCGGCACGCGTGGTTTTTGCTGGGCGAGTCGTGCCCTGCCCTGTTATGCCCCCGTGAGGGTTTAGAGAGAACAGTGTGGGAATGAATCAGCTGTGTGCTGGCTTTTTTAAGATAAGCAGATGCCAAATCTTTCTCGATACGGACCCTATTTCATTGCTTTTCCTGTTGCTCAGAGAAGATGGTGGTAACTTCCTCTCCGTCTCTCTGTCAAAGGTGTTTCTTTTAATTGGCTTTAAACGTTTTTGAATGTTCCAGTAATGATTTGTTTCCACCTGAGAAGGTATTTAATATGCCTGAATGCAGTATTTGAATTATCTCCTAAAATAGTCAATTTCTCTAATTCCTGCTTTAATGACCTCTCAGTTTTTTAGTGACAGAGATGTGTAGGTATCAAATTAATGCTTTGTTCTTCTTGCCTTTTTTTTTTTTTCTAGAAATTTTGTTACCTTTTGGTGAGCGCTTCAACATACACCTTCATGATGATGTGGGAGTACAGTCATTATCTCCTGTTTGTCCAGGCCGTGTCTCTTTTTCTGCTAGACAGCTTTGCTCTAGCACAGACAGAAAAGGTACTAAAACTCATTGACCTCCTGGTAGCTGGGGACTCAAATACAGCCTCAGAGGTCCCTTGTCATACTCACTGCTCAGGAGCTCCAAAGGGCATAGATCGAGCGATGACTCGAGTGTCTGGCAGCCTGGGTCCAGCTAAAGTGCATGTCCTGTCCTTTGGAAGAATGGAATGGCTTAAAACTTGCTCTCTTTTGGCCTGCTGTGTTTCAGACAGCTTCCCTAACAAAAGGGCAGAACCTAAAGAAAGCCCCGAGGCCTGGACACATCCTCGGAGAGATGAAAGCGATGAGATTCAGTCATGCAGCCTTTTCAGCTCAGCTTTCTGTTCTCTTCCTTTCCCTATACAGTAGGGTGAGGGGGGGGTGACCAAAAAAATGCTCTCTTGGCTCTGTGCGGTTAAGGGGCTCATTTTCACCCCCAGATGGCCCACCTTATATTGATTTAGTCAACAAATAATGCAATTGGCCACCTGGTAACTGGTTTTTCAATATGAGAAAGTATTTGGAATTATTCCGCAAGGTGGTTCTTAGAAATGTTGTAACAATGAGACATTTTTCCTTAGCCTTTTCCTGTGGTTCCTACTTCATACTTCGAGTTTTCTTAGATGTGACATCAGTTTCAAACTGCGTGCAGGAATAATTGGTCACCTCTTCTGTCAGTTGCTTTATATGTTCTTCAGCAGAAGGAGATATTACTACTTGGGGCATTTTTACAGATTTCCCATGGAGCAGTCATACACTAGTTACTGAAGTTGACCAGAGCAATTTTGGTGTGAAATACTTTTCACAGCCAAATGGTACCCTGCTAGATTCCTAACCTCAAAGACAGAGATTTATCCATTAAATCCCCTAATTAACAGGGAAATGAAGTGAACTACCTATTGCAAAATGCGTATCCACTGTAATTTCTTTTGTTTCTCCAACAGGTGCATGAAGTATACAAAATCTACCTGTTCTCTCTCCTCTTGGGCTACCTATTGCAGTTTGAAAATTCAGCCTTACTAGTGTCGCCGCTACTAAGTCTTGTAGCAGCTCTAATGCTCTCTAAATGCCTTCAGGTAACCAGACCCTCCTCCAACCCCGAATGTAGTTTTTATTACTTCAGCGGAACTCCAAATGATACGACGTTCTTAACATATTTTTGCAGATGAATATGAAGAAAGGTACATTTTTGTCAAGATTGCTGAAAATCATGTACATTTATTTGGTACTCACAATAACACTGACGCTAAACTTCTTATTAAAGGTAAGATTCATCTGTAAAAAGTGATTTTAATTGGTATAATCTAAATGAAAAGTTAGAGTTACCTTGGAAAAGTCTTTCGAAGTGTGGCTTCTTGGTCTGAGAGTTCATAACTTAATTTATCATGAATAGAAATACTAAAGATTGAGTATTTTTTTTTTATCTATATATTTATTTACAAACTTTTAACAACCCAAGCAGCTGTTTTTTGTTGGGGCATTTGGTCTTTTGGGTTGAGATTAAAGCATAGGATGGAAATACTCTTTAAATCGCACACTAGTTATTTCATAAATGTGTTTTTTGTTATAACTTGGATGGTTTCTACCAATCGGGTTAGATATTAAAGCAGTATTCTTGTGCGTGGAAAAGAGCTGGTAGGCTTAGATGGTAACTTTCAGTGGGATTTTTAACCTGGTCTTAGGTCTTGGTTAGTAACTCCCTCTTACTAGCCCTAGCCTTTTATATAATTTGCACTTTTCCCTTATGTTTCAAATTCATCCTGGTTGTGTTAATTGTCATCTTAGAAATGAAAATCCTAGCAAACACTAAAAAAGCCTGAGAGAATGCTCAAATCTGATTGTTTTCTTGTGTCGTTCAGATTAGCTAGCCTTGCTGTATCTCCAGGAAAATAAAGCCTAGCCCTGAAAAAACATAACTTAAATTATGTAGATGGTACATAGAACTTTTGGCTGCTCAAACAATTTATGTGAAGATTACAAATGCTCATAACTTTTGCTAGGCTGCAGTCCTATTGTTTAGTGGAGCTAAACACAATGTTCTTTGGCTTGCTTGGTGGTAAGTCCATGTCCATTTTTCATGATCCTTTTCACCCTACTAGGTAGCCTTCTGCCAACCTGTTGACAACTTTTCACTAGCCCTCCCATTGGGGTACATGAATGAAATGCAGGGTATGATATTTGCTAGGAAATCCTAAGGAGAGATTTATTTAAGTGAAGATTTACAGTACTATATTGGTACCTTAATTGGCACGCTTAATCCAATGTGTGGGTTTTAACTAAATCCTGAATCACTGATTATTCCCTGCCATTTTGTAATCTGAGCGAAGTGACTATGTGAAAGCTGCTTCCTGCATTTAATAAGATTTTTCTCTGCTAAATTAATTTTCAGATGTTTGTTCCTCATAAAGAAAACGAGCATTTGCTGAAATTCCTTGAAGTAAAACTTGGCTTAAACACAACTAAGTAAGTTTTACGTTTTTTTTTTTTTACACCTTCTAAAATATCCAAATTGCTGAAACTGCTCTATGTAGAAAATTTCAGTGGCTTGTGTGAATTTTGTAAAGGAGTTATCAAAACTTTGTATTTGTCACTTGGTTTAAAAAAAAAAACAAAGTTGAAAAGATGCATATACAGAATTTACTTAGGATTTGGAGATTTCTGCGGCTCCTCAATATTTCATCCTTTGGAGTGAAAGCATCATATTAGATTATTGCTTTCTTTGATGCTGAAAAGCAAAAACTTTTTGTACCCTGTCTAGTGTTTCTAATAAGACTTGAAAGCAAGGATTGTAGGGTAAATGTAGTGGTCCTGGCTGGAAAACAGTCTGTGAAAGGCATCACGGACTATTGATAGTACCTGAAAACATGTTTTTTTAGTCTTGTAAGAATAACGCCACCACCAAAAAAAAGCAAAACCTATTAGTTTTAGAAGAAATTAAGACAAGGGACAATTTAAAAGTCAGAGGAAATCCTTGTGATCCTAAGAGAAACTGTTTGCATACATAAAAAAGAGTTGAGTGTTGGTCTCCAAGAAGACAACAACATGGCCACAGATATCCTGGAAATCTTCAAACGGAGTATTGGTAAGAACCAGAGATACCTCCTGGACCCAAGCCAGCATTTGCAGTTCTGTACAGGAGTTCATTCTCTCTCCTGTGAACTCCATCTGTCTTACAAAGCTACTTCACGGCCTTTCAGGAGAAGATTTGGAAAATAACACCACAAAACTGAAACTGTTGGGGAATTTTTGGAAGGCAAGATATTCTGAGTTTGACTAAGATGCACTGTTATAAAACATACATGCACGTTTATAAATGTTCTACAAGAAAGACAAGACTGCTTCTGGTCAGCATTTTGGTTTATTCAGCTACCAGGTATTATGGATGTGGGTTTTTGGTTTTGTTTTTCCTGGGACTTCCTACATGCTACTTTCCGGGCCGTGCAACCATGCATTGAAGTTGGTGTTTGAGACAAACTGGGTGCAACTACCCCTGGAAAATCATGTGAAAATCATTGGAATTATGGTTTGCAGCACAAGAACTTCAAGATTTGTCTTTTAATGCTTATTTGGACGTGCTCAGTTCTTAATCCTAAAACTGGTTCTGTCTAACTGAACCTCTTTCAGTTCTCTGGTCATCACGTAGGAGTAAAAGAAAAGCAGGAGGAAACAAAAGAAAACAGAAGACAAGAATGCACTTACTGAACCACGTGCCACACAAGTCCAGTCGAGAATACACACTTATAGTGGTTCTTGGCAGAGTATATAATGTTTCTGCTCATTAATTGAGCAAGAAGAATGATCGAGCGGGTTCAGCTACAGAATTAGAATTTCAGCATTAAGGATTCCATTCTTGGCAGTGCCTCGGGCTTACGTGGGCTCTCAGATGACCACTTTCCCTGTGGAACGAGGACAAGCTTACCTTCTTGCATCAGTATCTCTAAAATCTCAATCCACTGTGACAACAAAGTGCTTTGTGGTCCTCATAACGGAGTTATCCAGGAGGCTGGGTTTTTGTTTTCGGGAAGAGTTGTAGTCTGCCCTCTTAAGATCACAGGCTTTTTCTGGAAGATAAGCTTTTGATATTTACTGTAAGGAGGACTTGTAAAACAGTTTCAAATTATAGCATACCACTTCTCAAAGATGAATTTCAAATAGTTTCCTATGACATGAATAGATGAAAATGTGCTTGGTTGTGTGCTTTTTTTTTCCTAATCTATGTGGTGTTATTATTGTTTTTTAATGGGATGTTTTTGCCTTACTAGGAATTTTACAATGAATTGGCTCCTTTGTCAAGAATCTCTTCAGGCACCCTCCCAAGACTTTTTTTTGCGGCTAACGCAGTCATCACTGTTGCCTTTCTATATTTTAGTATTAATTATCTGCCTTTTTTCTGTAACTCAGGTCATTTTTAGGAGAATTTGGTAAGTAACTTATTCATATTGGAAATTTAGAAGTGAAAAATAAAAGTTTCATGGATTTATAAGTGAATGGTCAATCCTGTAACTGATTGAGGCCTCAGGACAGAGTTAGACCATTGAGCATGCGAGGATGTGGGCAGCAGGAAGGGCTTCCACAGAAAGTCCTGTAGCAAGGAGCTTCTAGAGCATCCCTTCAGTCAGGACAGGGAAATGTCTCTGGGTTTGCTTGTTTGTCTTGTGTTTTTGTTTGTTTGTTTTCCAAAGGTGTGATTCCTGCAGAGATGTGGCTAATGGTCTTACGAGATGTTTGTCTCGTAGCACTGTGAGAAAGAAATATGTTTTCCCCTTCTAAAGTCCCTAGATTGTTGCTAGAGGATTTGTTTCTCTGTTTTGTTTTGGTTTGTTTTGTTTTTTTAATGTATTTTTTCCAAGTTTACATATTGCAAAGAATGAAATGGGTGGAGCTGAGAGGATTGCAGATTTCTAACACTTTCCTGGCTTTTGTTTTTGTTTTGTTTTTTTTTTTCCCATCTTGTTTACTGTGATAAGGTTCAGCAGTCTTTGCTGCTCAGAACAGAGCTGAAGTAAAACAGACTGGATTATTTTTAGTTTCACAGTGATTCGCAGTTCCCTTGAGAGGAGGGTAGTGGAGCTGTCTGTGTGCAGGCTCAGAATGGCAAGACTGTAGATTGTAGATCCTAGCATAATTTATCTTGGAAACTGGCTAGGAGATTACATCTCCCTGGTAGAAGATAAATGGTCTAACTGCTTAGGTGTTAGGGCAGATTCCTCACTTGTCTGCAGCAAAAATGAGTAGATTTTTTTTAAGATAAAGATTACTTTTTAATTTTGAAGCAGTTACTAATCTCAAATATTTTTTTTTGCACTTTGTCATGAGGATTTATTTACAACTTTGTATCAGAAATCACTTAATGGTAGAAGAAAACGTCTTGCATGTGCCTCACTATCTTGTCTGTAGAAAAACATTTGTTGTAAGATTTTGGTTGTCTTTTATTTATAATTATACATTCATAATATTTTACAGCACTGTCACTGAAAGCTGTTTTCGTAATCTTACTTTGTGACAACATGGTATATGTAGTCATACAGATTCCATGATCTTCACCAGGTTAATGATGCGAAGAAGTTTAGAATATGTGTGCAGCATGCTTTGCCTAAATGTTTGCTGAGTATGCATGCTCTTGAATTACTGTCTCTTGTTGCTGAAGTACCTTAAAATAGGATTGGTGGTCACAGGCAGAGATCCTGTTGATTTAATTCACAGCCATTGCTCCAGAGACAAGGGACAGCAGGTACTGAGAGATCACTGACAAAAAATACAAACCAAATAAGCAGTGCAACGGTGGTGTATGATATGGCACAGAGTGATCTCAGTGTGCTGCTGACTTAATGGTCATAAAAATATATTTATTGGCACCTTTGCCTGAGATAATGTCTGAATTAAGTGATGTCTCGTTTTCTCCAACTGCAGTGGTGAACCACTGAAAGAGACAGTTAAACTTGAGGATGGTCGAATTGGAGAGAGGCCAGAAATAGTTTATCATGTAATTCACACAATTTTACTTGGTTCTCTAGCGATGTGTTTGGAAGGGTAAGTCTCGTTTTGATGTATCTCTTTTGAAAGCAACAGAGAATTCCTAACTGGCCGTGATGCTCTATTTTAACCCCCTTTGAAATGTGTCTGCAATTCAAAAGTCTTTTCAGAAATATTTTTGGCATACAATGATCCTAGTCAGTAGGGGAGATGGCAAAGAGGATTTTGACTCTAACTTGGGTAGAGGAGTGTGATGAATTGTGCTTGGTCTCTTTAATGTGGTTTCCAAGCTTTAACGCAGCCAAACTCTAAGAAATGAATCAGAGCAAATGTGAATCGCTTCCCATGTGGTATTTAGGTGTAGAACTGCTCTGTAATTCTTTGAATATTGTATTCTAGTGAGATCTTGTGTAGTGTTTGGATGAATAATATTTGTTCTTGATCACTAAGATGCTGAAGATTTCTTACCCATCACCTTTTATCTAGGCTAGCCTGACGTATACCTTTGCTTGACATGCTAAAGCAGTAACAAAACAGTTTTCAAAGGTGTAATGAATATTAGTCCTTAAAGCTACAGGACCTAGTGTTTGGAAAACCTTATTGTGCCAGTCTTGGCTCTCATCTAAATGAACTTGAAGGTGGCAAACTTGTGTTTATATCACACTCATCATCCTCATATCTGAATATTCACAAATTATTGAAGTGAGCAGACTGTTGTATTGCCAAGTAGTTGTCTTGCTTTGTCTATCCTCAAGAGGCAAACAATGCCAGCAAATAGTAAATTGTTTATTAAACATTTTCCTTTCCTTTCTTCAGGAACTCCCTTATAGTACAGTGTCTGTACACCTTTGATGAATAGCTACTTTTTATCCTTGTTTGGCTGGAAAACTGCAACAGCCAAGTGACTTTACTAGTCTGTATGTTTTTCTTTCATCCTCCCCTGAACTCTGTGAAGGATTTTATCATCTTTGACCTGGGATCTTGCTCCTACATCTTGCAGCAGATAATCAGGTGCCTGCTCTTCTGCTAGAGATTTCCTTGGTTTACCTTCCAGTGCCATCAAGTTTGATCTCAGATTGCGTGTCAAACGCTCTGGATGTGCAAGCAAAAAACTATCTGAATGCTTTTATAAATAGCCTGAATCCACACAGTGGCGTATACAGAGTCCCAACTAAGCTCTTGCACTATTTTTCAGAATGAAATATCTCTGGACTCCGTATGTTTGCATGCTTGCTGCGTTTGGTGTGTGCTCTCCCGAACTTTGGATGACGCTCTTCAAGTGGCTTCGTCTGAAAGCTGTGCACCCGATACTGCTGGTGAGTTCTGTCACCAATGTCTTGGGAATTGCAACTAGCAGGCATATCACTTTTAAAACAATGACTTAAACCTAAAGAACTCCCCACTCTAAGAACGTGTCATTCTGTGAGCAGTGGATCTCACATACCTGCTTTTTCCTGTGCCTTTTATTTCTAGTAGCATGTTTTCACGTGTTCTCTGGTACCTGGTGATAAACTTGTTCACGCTAGAGCCTTTTTCTCAGGAGGAGCAGAGCTGTGTTCATCTCTCTCTTTCACACATCTGTTTAATTTCTTTTAAAAATCTTTGAGACCTCAAGACCTCTTGTATTTAGTTGAGATCGGCCAAGAAGGTCAAATGCTAGGAAGAGTGCAGGAGAGAAAGTACAGGCCTGCAGGTAAGCAGTGACGTAAGTCTTGTTTCACTAGGAAATGAGACTAAAATGTGGTGCTTAGGTTTATTTAATTGCTGGGAGTAAAACAGCTTCATACGAAATGGTAGCTGGAGCTACTTAGTGTAGGATTTGTTCTTGTGTGGCCATTTCAGAGAAGTGCTGCTATGGAAGATAAGCTTGTGCTGTAATGCAAACAATTCCCACACTTCCAATCCTAGTGTTATTCCTAATTTGCTGAGAGTTGCTTTGGGCAGCTTTTGTCAGATGTCTGCACTTGTTTTATTAATAAAATGAAGACAGTGTGTTACTTTACATTTAATTTCAAGATGCTGTAGGAATAAATATTTAATACTTAAACAAAGATTCATGTATGGCACTTGTGAAAGTGCCATTTACTGTTGAGTTATAAACATTGACGGTGTCCTTCCAGTCAAGGAGTAAGAATATATTCACATACATGTAAAATATGTTCCCTTATACTTTATACTTCCATGCTTCCTGCTATATAGACTTGCTTTTTTCATAGAGTAGCTGTGTTAACAGCTTATTATCAAGAGGAATGCCTTGTGTGCACTCCTTAGCAAATATTTTCTGTACCACGTGAGCAATCTTCTCCTTTTGCAAAGGGTGTATGATATGAGTTAGAGTGATGGCATGATGAAAAATGGTTTTCTGGGTTTTTTTTTGTCTCACTATTGTTAATCTGAATGAAAGCATTAGTAAAATCAGAGTTTTTTTTCATATTTTTTTCATTTCTCAAATTTTCTCATTGTGTTTGTGTCTGAGAGGTTTTTACTTCTGTTCCCTAGTTCATGTGCACATCGCATCATTGTTTTGTATCATTGTTATATGAGCAGTAATTAACCATCTTTAGTATTGGTGGTAAAGTTAACATGGGTCAAAAAAGTTCTTCAGTGCTAAGTTAGACAAGCTCTTGTTTGCAGTTTTTTTCCCCAGGAGAAGACTGCAAAAATTCACCTGTAGTCACTAAGGTTTCAGACATAAATGTAGCATGCCAGGGTATGAACAGAATCATCACATAGCCTAGGAAGGAGAACAGAGAAGAGTCCATAATCCATTTCTTCTAACATCTGTTTTCTAGGCTCTCATTCTGAGTATGGCAGTTCCCACAATAATTGGATTCAGCTTGTGGAAAGAGGTAAGAAAAGTACCTTTCTGTATTTTGTTTTGTCTTTAGGCAAAATATGAGTCAGAGCACTGAACAAATATAATGCTAAGGAGAAATAAAAGCTGACATCTGAAAATCTGCTGGCTTCTTTTGGTTTTGTTTTAAAACAAAACTGTTTACATTTTTCAGTATGATGTATTTAAAAACTCAGTTTGTTAACAATCATTTATTGTAATTAAGTAGTTGAATTCAAATTCAGACATTATTATATTCATCTGTTACACTTTGGATATATGAAGTGACTCAACAAAGAAAATATTGCCAAATAAACACTTGGAATACTGAAAAGTGTGTTGTCTCTATCTTGTTCTTAGTGAGAGGAAGTGAAGTTAAGTGGAATTAAAATTATGGAAGGCCATAGGCAAATAATCTGAGAGCTTTTCAAGCAGACTATAATGGAGTTAAATCCTTGGTATAGAGTGCTGTGTATAGATATTGCATATACTATGATACAGAGGGGAAAAAAGCTACAGATGTTTCCTTCTTTAAAAGAAATAGTCCTTTACTGCGAGTCATGTTGCAAAACAGACTGGCAGACAAGTGGAGAATGTTTGGAAATTTATTTTTTAAAATTCTTCAAGTGCAAAAAATAGCAAAAATATCCCTGTCATGACAGTCCCGTAGAGTGTAACTCACTACTGTAGTGTCATAGCTTCAGAAGAGTTTGAGTAGTTTTATAAGAATTTAAGATATACGTGAATGCTTTGTAGAAAAATAAAATAAAATTCAATCTTGACTAATGTTACTTTAACAGATTGTATAAATGGTATAAATGTTGTTTGCAGTGTAATATTACTCTTCACACATTTCTGGCAGTTACAGATAATTTTTCCTGAAAAAAAAAGCTACAGTTGCTCAAAAAAAGTTATGCAACTGGTTACAATAGAGAAAACTAGTTTTAGTTGAACAAAATTCTTTTCACACGATTTTTTAGTAAAAGCAGTGTGCAGGTTTGGACTCTAGAGGGCTACATCCCTTGCAAATCCAGCTTTTGCTTTTAAGCACTGGTGTGCAGTTTGCTCTCCATGCTCATAATTCCCCCCTGAGCTTGGAAAGTTTGATTGATAGGAACAGGGCAGTGCAGATGCCTTGAGGCTCCTAATCTGTTACTTTGGCTACAGAGGGATGAGTGTACAGCTCAGCATCTTTCTGCTTGGCTGCCTTCAGATTCAGTCAGGCACAGTCCCTCATCCAACTGGATTTTTTCTAAGGGCTCTGTTTGTTCAGTGAAGCTGGTTCTCCTTGGGGCAGCAGTGACAGTTCCTCTTTTGTCTGTCTTTTGTTCCTGGGACAGTACAGGTATATGTCCAACAGCTCCTGTGGTGCTATGGCTTTTCAGCCCTGATACTAACATATGGGAGCTGTTCTTAGAACCACAGACCCACAGAATGGTTTGGGTTGGAAGGGACCTTAAAGCCCACCCAATCCCAGCCCCCTGCCATGGACAGGGACACCTCCCACCAGCCCAGGTTGCCCAAAGCCCCATCCAGCCTGGCCTTGAGCACCTCCAGGGATGGGGCATCCACAGCTTCTCTGGGCAGCCTGTGCCAGGGCCTCACTGCCCACATTGTAAAGAATTTCCTCATTATAACTAATCTAACTCTCCCCTCTTTTAGTTTAAAGCCATTCCCCCTTGTTCTATCACTCCACTCCCTGACAAAGAGTCCCTCCCCACCTTTTCTGTAGCCCCTTTAGGCACTGGAAGGCCACTTGGCCTTGTTGAACCTCGTGAGGCTCACACAGGCCCACCTCTCAGGCCTGCCCAGGTCCCTCTGGATGGCAGCCCTTCCCTCCAGCGTATCAACCACACCACACAGCTTGGTGTCATGGGCAAACCTGCTCAAGGTGCACTCGATCCCACTGTCTGTGTACCAACAAAGATGTTGGATAGTTCTGGTCCCCATAATAAGCCCTGAGGAACACCTCTCGTTACTGATCTCCACCTGGACACTGAGCCATTGACCACAGCTCTGAGTGCAACCACCCAGCCAGTTCCTTACCACAGAGTGGTCCATCCATCACACCCATGTCTTTCCAATTTAGAGACCAGGATATCATGGGGGACAGTGTCAAGTGCTTTGCACAAGTCCAGGTAGATGATGTCAGTTGCTCTTCCCCTGCCCACCAATGCTGTAACCCCATGGTAGAAGGCCACCACATTTGTCAGGCATGATCTGCCCTTAGTGAAGCCAAGTTGGCTGTCATCAGTGACCTCCTTATTTTCCATGTGCCTTCACATAGTTTCCAGAAGGATCTGCTCCGTGATCTTGCCAGGCACAGAGGTGAGACTGACTGGGCCCAGGTTTGTCTTTTTTCCATTTTTAAAAATGGGAGTTATCTTTTACTCCTGCCAACCACTGGGAACGTCACCGTACTGGCACAGCTTCTCAGATATGGTGGATAGCGGCTTAGCAACTGCATCTGCCAGTTCTCTCAGGACTCATGGATGAATCTCATCAGGTCACATAAGCCTTCAGGCTCCTTAGCTGGTCTTGAACGTGATCTTCTCCTACACTGGGTGGTTCTTAACTCTCCCTGTCCCTGCCTTTGCCTTCTGGGACCTGGGCTATGTGGCCGGAGCTCTTCCTGCTGAAGACTGAGGCAAAAGTTCATTGAGTACCTCAGCCTCTTCATGTCTTGGGTGGCCAGGTCTCCTGTTTCTTTCTGGAGAGGGCCCACAGTCTCCCCAGTCTTCCTTTTCCTTTTATCACTGATGTACCTACAGAAGCCTTGCTTGTTGCCCTTGATGTCTCTGGCCAAATTTAATACTAAAAAGACTTTGGCTTTCCTAAATTGATCCTTGGCCACTCAGACTATGTCTCTGTATCCCTCCCAGGCAACCCTGTTCTGTCTGGTTGCAGACTCCAATCATCTGCATAAAGTCCCTTTAGTCTGCCATAGTTGTAACCTCTGCTTATCTTTTTAAGAGCTGGCAACCACATGATACTCTTCTAAGAAATTTGCTTTCTTCTTTCCTGCTTTTCATCAAGTTGCATCAGTTCAACCTCCCTGCTCAAGCAGGTCTATCATGGAAGAAGATTTGTCAACTTCTTGTATTAGTGCCCTTATTTTCATATAAAAACCTGGACTATGATGTTGATGCATTTAAGACCAGTTAAAGTTGATGAAGGTTGTTTTGTTGTTGTTGTTTGGTTGATTTTTATTATACATATGAAGATAATTAGAGCTGAGAACTTAGGTTTAATTTCTGTTTATTCTGGAGAAGGTCTGCTGCTGTCAGGCAAGTACAAAGTAGCGTGTTTCCCAAAGCATTCAAACAAAAATACCACTTAGAGAAAACTCGGTTGAAACTATTTCTATTGTGTTATTGAAGGCCATAACATAATGAGATGGTGCATAGAAGTTTTCTTTTATTTTTTAACTGTAAGTAACCAAGTATGTTTCCTTCAGTTTTTCCCTAGGATAATGTCAGAGCTTTCAGAAATACAAGAATTTTATGATCCTGATACAGTAGAGCTCATGACATGGATAAAGTAAGTATGTGGTTCTACACTTTGTTTTGATTCTTTGTGTCAAGGTATTTTTATAACAGCATTTTGTGAAGCTACCTCTGTTAATCTGAGCTTTCCCTTACCAAGTCATTACATGATGTAGGGGGAGATGGGAGGAGAAATGAGTATTTTAAGTTTGGTATTACTGCCGTGGAATGTAACAGGAATTTATAATTGGTAAAAAAGAGGAGAAGAGCCTGAAACACACAATCAACTCATGTGTGATATCATTACTAGAAGTGATTCCCAAATAAACATGTACATCCTAGTACTTCTTTCCGTGATGACCTTTCAGTAGATCAGAGGAGTCATATTGATTGTAATGCCATGGGGCGTAGAAACAATGAAATTTGTGCATGCAGGAGCCAGTAAAATTAAATGTTTAAATGTAAGTGTTGAGAGACTTCATTTAAGAAACATGGAGCGTAACGTGTAGTTCAAACTCCCCTTTGAGCAGAAGGCTTCAAAGGTTTTTATCTGGCTGGCTAGGCAAATGCTGAGCGTCAGGTTATTTTCAGAGATGTATTTTTCACCAAAAGTTTCAGAACTCGATTCTGGCCTAATTCAATTTAATTTTGAACTATGTCATTAGGAACTGCACTTCTGTGGCAAATTAGGTCCTCTGTGTTCAAATAACTTCCTTACCTTGAACTGGATTTTTTAAGGATATTATTTTCTGTATTTATGGAGTCTTTAATGTCAAACTGTTCATCTTCCAAAAAGACAAGGCTGGTAATTATGATGTTCCAGCCAATTTCTTCTTTCTGTTAATAGTAGTGTATGTTGTTTGTCACTGCGCTAGCTCTTCAAGGCAGCAAGTGGAATAATGCCAAGCACCTAATGGCTTTTACATTAGTCTGCATATATTACGCTTCAAGTACATAATTAATCATGGTGAATTGCATTGAGATTCACTCAGCTAAGAGCAATTTGACTACCCTTATTTGTAGCAGCTGTTCGTATTTATAATGAAAAGGATTTTTTTTAATTTTTTTTAGGATATGCTTAGACGTCCATATTGGAATTTTAATTGAATGTCATTATTATAGTATATTTTCTTACAACTTTTGCTCTGATAAAATGAATTCACTTGAATTTTCTCTGCAGGAAAAGTTGCCCAAGGTCTGTAAGAGTGTGTGACAATGGCTGTTTTCTTCCACTAATTCATCAGTATGAATAATCAAAAGATGAAATCAAAATCCAGAAGCATAATTACTGTAGATGTTACACTGTATTATGACAGTATTTACTCATAAATGATGGAATATATTGTCCTGCAGATCAAACAAACATAATCACAAGTCTGTCACTTACAAGACAACATCATGTTGTTTCTCTCTCTACCTACGCTCCCTCCCAAACTTGTTTTGTCATCAGACAGCAACCATTTGGGAAAGCAACAGTTTGATCCAGGACCACTCTGAATAGTGCAAGGAAGGGAGAATGGCCATCAGCCCTTGCCCCAGCAGGAGGCCTTCCTTGCAAACCATTGCTGTACGTCATTAATGCTACCAGGGAATTAATGCCAGTTGCAGTTAGATCCCTAATGACACCTTCGTGCACTCTGATTCTTGCTGTAGCACCTTTATTGATTCATGCAGTGTTTAAAATTAAAATAAATCATTTTGGGAAATGCCTCCTGCACTCAGACATGTATGTGGATGTTGCTTTTGCAGAAGGCAGGCTCCTGTGGCTGCTGTGTTTGCAGGCAGCCCGCAGTTAATGGGAGTGATTAAGCTCTGTACTGGATGGATGGTGTCGAGCTTGCCTATATATAATGATGATGATCTTCTAAAAAGAAATGAAAACGTGAGTATCCAATTCCATAAATATGTATGCATGATCAATGATTTATAGGCCATCACGTAAGACTGAAGTGCCTGACTGAGCTGTGTGGGAGTACTGTAAATGTTAATAGAGAAGATGACCTTGTAACATTCCTCATGGCATACACGTTTGTGGTGCTCTTTCATGTTCCCTGGGCGACCTGGCAGAGTAAATTTTTTGTTTGGTGCAGCTCCCCCTGTACACAAGTGCTATTCCATACGCTGTCTTTTCTCCAAAGTGTTTGCAGTCTAAGGTGAGAAAAGAGCACAAAGTCTTGTGAAGAAAGGTAACACCAATACATAATCAATAAGCCCATGAACAAGATTCCTTACTGTGCACTGTGACAATGCTGAGTTTTAGGCAGGCTGTCATCTCTGAATTATTTTGAGCAATTTTTGTTCTGCATATTTTGCTAGGGGGAAGGTCACAAAGCAGAACAGACTTGCCCAGTGACTGATCAGGAGAGAAATCAAAATTGCTTCTCTACACGACTCTACCTGAGCTCTCACTCTGGGTTTGAACACTGCAGGATTACAGTAGGGAAATCTCTAGTCAGATACTTGACTTGGAAAGCATCTCACAGGAACTGCCTTCCTGTTCACCCAAATGTAACGGGGGGAAAATTAAATAAATTAGAAGGAAGGAGGATATGGGAGCCCAGCAAATGGGGAAGGTAGTATTAAGTAGATTATCAGTGCTCCAGTCTGGACAGAAACTATTCTATTTCTGAAGACTTATCATATCAAGGCACTTGAAATATTTAAGATGGGAACTTGTCACTAGTAGAGACCCCCAAAGTATCTAATTTTCCACTGATTTTTACCTGGCATTAAAACGTGTTCCTAATTTACAGATTTATCAGATATATTCAAAGAGGTCAGCGGAGGATATTTATAAGATACTCACATCTTACAAAGCCAATTTTCTGATTATTGAAGATTCAATTTGCAATGAAGTGGGACCTGTAAGAGGATGCAGAGTTAAAGATCTGCTGGATATTGCTAACGGTCATGTAAGTAACAGCAAGAAAAAAGTAAGTTTGAATGCAGAAACAATTCATTTAAAAGGAAACATTCTTGTAATGCTGTTCTTCTGTCTCTGATTGTAATTGATATGTAGACAAAGATTCATAAATTTTAAAAGTGATCACTTAAGTTTTGGCTTGTCTGTATATATTTGACTGTAACACCTGAGGGCTTGTTACAGAAGCAGTACATCCCTGCTTCAGAGGGCATTTCTTACTAGTTTTAAAATTATGATTTTAAAATGGATAAACTCATTTTCATTCCTGCTTTCATTTTGGGGACTAGTTATAGGGGTGATATGTTTTAGGGGATTACTCTAAATTTCTACATACTCTAAATAATCTAAAATTGGTGTCAGTTTCATTTGGAGGTTTCCTGGCCAGTTAATGCGTGGAGGATATTGTCTCTGTTTTTTCTATTACTTCCATTTATGCCATAGTTATTCCATGTTATAATAAATATACTCAACTTTGGGGCTTGGGGGCTGATAATCAACATGTTATCACTCGGTTTCTTCTCAGATCTGTTTTTGCACAAGTCAGTTCCTGTCCCTGCTCCATACTGAGCATGTCACCTGGAACAATTAACCACAAGTTCAGGATTTCATTCCCTCATACCAATGCATCTCTCTTCCCTGTGCTTCCTGCATACTTCACTGCCTTACACATAATCTTGATCTCATCCTAACTTCAGCAGCACAGCTTTACTGTCAGGTTTTTAATACTTCCTCTTTTGTTCTTACATTGCAATCAGTTTCTTCCTCTTCCCATTCCTAACACCTAGTTATTCAGCAGTTCATCCTGCTGGTCATCATGCAGTTGTTGCTTGCAATAATTTTGATCAAAGGTGGAAAAAAAAAGATGAAAAGACAGTATCCAGTGCAATGAGCTTATCTCTGCACAATAAAAACTATACACAATGCTGTCAGTAAACAAAACCAGACGCATACTATTGTTGTGTTATTGGGATTGTCAGAGTGGCAAGGGTTATCCTATTTATAGTGGATTGACTAAGGGGAAAAGAAGCTTGACGATCAGACTTTCAATTAAAATCTGTTATTCTGAATGCTTATCACAGAATCATAGAATCATCGAGGTTGGAAAAGACCTTCACAGTCATCCAGTCCAACCACCAGCCTGACTTACTTTTTTTTAAACCCATGTAAACTTGTGCCACTAGAAAGTGTAAAGAAGGGATTTCTTCAAGGGTGCCGGGTAGTACACATGGAATGTTTCCCCTGTCATTGTTCTTAATTACATAGGTATAGTGCTCTGCTTTTAATGTTCATTGTCCCAGCAAAGGTATTAATTCACAAAGGTTATTTTAGATCGTTACACAAATTATAGGGGAATGTATTTTACAGGTTATTGGAATCATACAGTATGGAAATGAAATATCTATATTATAAATGAGACGTAGAGAACACAGAAACAAGCAAAATGGACAGAATTGCATTCTGTAATCATTTATCATCAGTATTTTAATTAATTTTCTTCTTTTCTGACAGGTGGTTTGTGAGGAGGGTGACAGTTATGCCTACTCAAAATATGGACGATTTTGTCATGAAATCAAAATGAACTATTCTCCATATGTGAATTATTTTACTCGGGTATACTGGAATAGATCCTACTTCGTGTACAGAATCAACACTGTGATATCCTTCCAGTCATGAAAAAGCACGCAAGCTTCTTTCTGAGGACTGATTATGAATGGGACTCAGTTGGAAAAGTTCCTTTTGATCAAGGAAGTTATTTTTGCAGTTACATGTGGGCACAAACAGTGTATTGACGCCTTTATTTTACCAAACTGGAACTGTTTCAACTACAGACCAACAGATACAGATAACCATCCTTGAAGAAAACAGGAAAAATTGTCGAATTTTACAGGCTCTACATGGACGTGTGACAGTCTTCCTTGTTCTTGCATTTGTCTTCCCATTATAAATCACCTTAATCTTCATCTAACTGAGATTTCTGACTGTAGTGTTAGACGGTTGATGTGGGTAGACTTTGGAAAATGCAGAAAAGTGATGTTGAAGACCTCATTTAAGTCATATATCTTTTATTGTCTAGCAAGAAAGCAGTTGGTATCCTGAGTCTTCAAGTAAGTGTTTGGGTTTGTTTGTTTTTTATTTTCTTTTGTTAGTTTGTTTTTGTTTTGGTTTTTTTTATTCTTCGTTTTTCTCACTGTAAGCATTGCTATATTTATCAGACTGCATTCATACATCTTATGTGTAGGTACAGCATTTGTATCACTCGAATAAGGAAGATTTTATTTAAACAACACCTGCATAGGTTAAGGCACTGATCTTTGTCTTGTTGGAGACGTGTTGGTGGAAGCGCTTGGGTTTAGACCTAGCTGGAGAGGTTGACAAAGGCAGATCTTCAGTTTGGAAAGAACTCATCTTCAGGATTTTTCCATGCTTAACATGTGTCAGTGTGTGTGCGGATGTGTGAGCAGCCATCAGAACGGGCCAGTACACAACAGCACGCTGTGCTTGTTGTTGGACAAGTGCAGCAGGACAACCAGGTTTGCTACTGAGACTTCTGCACTTCTCTTTCACTCCCTCTGCGTGTGAGCTGCTCTGTGTATGTGTGTGTGTATCCTCGGCGTGGGGAGGGATGGGAGATACTCGCTTCACTCAACTTGCGTCACTTTTATGTCCTATTGCAGTAGTAGTGCCATATCTGTCACTTTAAACGCTGTCCTCACCACCACTGATAAGCAAAGATACAGTCCTTCATAGCTGTTTTTACATCCATTATGCAACTACGCTGGGATCTTTGAAAATACCTGCAAGTACTGTGCAGTCTTGCTTCCCTCCAAAATTTGTCTTCCTGGTATGACCCCACGAGTTACCTGCCCATCCTGTTTGCTTTGTTGCTAGCTGATGTGCTTTCAAGAGAATGAATGATGCTTTAACTCCAGCTCTGGGCCTTATCCTGGTGTTGCCAATGGAAAACCCAACAGAAGATAACGGTAACCCTGCTTACATAGATGTAGTGGGGCAGAAAGCCAGGGCTTAAGTTTTGGGAGAGGTTACTCATCTCTCAGGAGCTGCCTGCAGTTAGGTATTCTGGTAACACCTGGCGCAGGGACCAGTCTCTCAGGCATGTGGCAGTGATTCTTTGGGATCCAGAAGTCCTTCATGAAACAGCTGGCAACGTGGGGCGAACCTGCAACTGAAAAACCTGTAAACCATTCTGCAAACGAAAGCTGCAAAACTCTCCCTACTGCATTTGTTGGTAGAATCATAGAATCATAGAATATCCTGAGTTGGAAGGGACCCTTAAGGATCATCAAGTCCAACTCTTGACACCGCACAGGCCCACCCAAAAGTTCAGACCATGTGACTAAGCGCACAGTCCAATCTCTTCTTAAATTCAGTCAGGCTCGGTGCAGTGACCACTTCCCTGGGGAGCCTGTTCCAGTGTGCAACCACTCTCTCTGTGAAGAACCCCCTCCTTATGTCAAGCCTAAATTTCCCCTGCCTCAACTTAACCCCATTCCCGCGGGTCCTGTCGCTAGTGTTAATGGAGAAAAGGTCTCCTGCCTCTCGACACCCCCTTACGAGGAAGTTGTAGACTGCGATGAGGTCTCCCCTCAGCCTCCTCTTCTCCAGGCTGAACAGGCCCAGTGCCCTCAGCCGTTCCTCGTACGTCTTCCCCTCCAGGCCTTTCACCATCTTCGTAGCCCTCCTCTGGACACTCTCCAACAGTTTCATGTCCTTTTTATACTGTGGTGCCCAGAACTGCACACAGTACTCGAGGTGAGGCCTCACCAGCGCAGAGTAGAGCGGGACAATCACCTCCCTCGACCTGCTAGCGATGCCGTGCTTGATGCACCCCAGGACACGGTTGGCCCTCCTGGCTGCCAGGGCACACTGCCGGCTCATATTGAACTTGCTGTCTACCACGACCCCCAGATCCCTCTCTTCTAGGCCGCTCTCCAGCGTCTCATCGCCCAGTCTGTACGTGCAGCCAGGGTTTCCCTGTCCCAGGTGCAGGACCCGGCACTTGCTCTTATTGAACTTCATGCGGTTGGTGATCGCCCAGCTCTCCAACCTATCCAGATCCCTCTGCAGGTCCTTTCCACCCTCATTCGAGTCCACAACTCCTCCAAGTTTGGTGTCATCAGCGAAGTCGCATCAGGTAAAATGCGACTTCAGAGATTTTGACTCTGAAATTCTTAGGAATTGCAATGTGTTGGTGTGTATGCCTGATTTTTCTCTGCTCTATGCAGATACCTTTGTTTCCTTTACACTAAGAGGTAGTGCTGAGTTGTTTTTTTTTTTTTTTAAATCTGTTATCACTATTGGAGTGATTTAAAAGAGAAAAGCTTTATTGTTGTAAATGTCAACATGCCCGTAATCTGGTTTTTACTTTCAGTCATATTTTTAGGTCTGTGAGTCGGATGAATCCATTAAAAACATGGATGTGATCATTGAGAGAAACGTTTGTTGGTGTAACTGAGTTACAGGTTAAAAGTAAATATCCTTTTTGGGGATACAGTCACTGTGTAGAGGATAGCACATGCGTCTCTCTGGCCAAATGCAGTCTGCATTTATTTGCTTTTGCACGAGTGCATTTGTTTTACCGCACTGGACTGTTTCAGACTTCAGTTAGAACATCAAAAGAGAAGTTAGATTAGCTTTGGCTATAGCAGGCACGCAGGAACCTCCTCTGTATGTGCTATAGCTTTAATATTTGGCAGTAATTTTAGAGTTCCATGTCGAATTTAAGTTCATTTGAATTACTGTCAGGAATTACATGTCTGTGTGTCAGTCATTTGCTCTCCTGAAGGTGATCGCTCACGAATACCGTTTGGTACCAGCAATAAGGCATTCCAGGTAGCACATTTCAGGGTTACAGTTGCACTTGGGTGGATGAAGCCGCCCAGCTGCCGGCTTCACGCCTTACGATGCCATGCCAAGATGCAACGCTCAACTATCCTGGACTTACTGCAACGCTGGCTGCGTGTGTGACCACCCAGAGCGTAGTCTGAATCCTTGGACGTAGAGCACATCTGTTCAGAAAAACACAAACGGGGCCATCTGTACGTGGAAGGGAAACTCTGTCGTAGCACATGGGCCTTTATACATGTTTGAATGAACATGTCGAAGTTTATTTGAACTGTGACATAGTCGGTATTAGTTTTGGCATAGTCTTAAAGACATATTCTTGATACTTCAACTGATTCTGCAGTAGAAGAATCATGTAAGATTTTTACCTTGCTTTTTATAGTAGAGAAAATTGTATAGCAGCATCACTGGCACAGCGGCCTTAAGTAACAGAGAGGAGCCTTTTACTGGGGGTGACGTTGCTGTCATCCCAGTCAGAAGGCATCGTTTTTAAACCGAGTGGCTGGAAGATTCATATCTCATGAAGAAAACGATAAGCTTAAATTTTTTATCCAGTTATGGATTATCAAAAATGTTGTCTGTTCTAATCTCTGCCTTCTGTGGGGGAAAAAAAGAAACAGAACGTTTCAGGATGTCCCTCAGAAGGACAGCAGTGGGGCATAATTACATCCGACTTGTGCACACAACCCTGCCTTGGTTTTCAACCCAGGTCCCAGGTTTAAATCCCTGAGTGGGTCGGTCGGGGGAATGTTTTGCAAGTTTTGACCTGTTTTGCTGTAGATGTTGCGATTCCGTTGAAACATGTGCCTTGCAAGCTTTTATTAAACAAAGAAAAAACTCAGCTGGTGTTTCTTTTTGTGAAGATTCCTTTTTTAAGAAATTCCTCTCCTTCCAACTTCTAGAGCTTCTGTTGTGTCCCAATACCCCTACATCCAAAGATGTGGGTGCAGCTAGGATGTGTGCCAGCCGTCTTCCTAACAGCTGTTCACGGGGAAGAATAAGAACTTGCGTAGCAAATTGTGTTGTTGTTTGGCTGGCTTATTTCCTCCTTTGCGTTTCCAGTTTCTGGTTTGCTTGGTTTTAGAAAACGCCAAAAATTACCTTGAAAGAATTAAATGAACGTAGCATTTTCAGGCACTTGCCTGTTACCGTTAGACTTGCGGATTAAAGTTTAATCAAGCCACACTTAAACTGACAGGTACAGTTTTGTCTTAATCCTTTGTCTTAAAAAACCCTTTTTTGCATACTAAATTACCACACTTGAATGCAGTTGGTAGATTTGCAAGGAAGTATTTCAGACTAATTGAGTAAAGGCGTTTCAGAACATAAGGGGGTTTTGTTCATATTATCCTAAAAACACTGATTTCCTTTCTTACCAAGGAAATGCAAATCTTAAATGCAATTTCCATTAGGAGTAGGGCAAGGGAAAATAAATAACTGAAGAAAGAGGGCCACAGTTTAATAGTTACTGAAAATTGATCACGGATATTTGCTCTGGTTGCATTACCATTTGCTGAAAGGTAGGAGGTTAGGGACCTACGTTTGTTCTTACCACCTTGTTTCTGATAAACTGCAAACACCCGAGTCGTGTGACCCTTCATCAGCTTTCCCATGCGGTTCACATGAGTAGGAGCTGCAAGATCCGGACGTAGGGATTGTAAAATGTCATTGAAACACCGTCTAATGACTGTTGTGAACTAAGCATAAGCTGTCCTTCAACCAAAAGGCTAACGGGAGAAAGTATAAGCTGTTTGTGTGAGTGTGCGGGTGTGCATGCTGTGTTTGCATTCAGAGAGGTCTGTTTTGCTGTTGTGGTTTGGAGATGTCACGAGAAGCTTCTGTTTATTCCTAGCGGTGGTTGAGTCCATAAATCCCCTATATTTTGTTGGACAGATGGACTCTGCTATGGTATTGAAGATAAAAGAAGAGCTGAGTTTATTCCAATACAAGCAATATTTCATGTGAAGTAATACCTCAACGTCCGTATAATCATGCCTTTAGTACTCTTTTTAAAACTTTAGAAAAAAAAAAAGATTAAAATTTTGAAACATGCAATGCATGTTATTTTAGTACTCATTTCTACTTTATCAGTACAGCTGGAATAAAATATCACCGTTACCTTGTTGCACTCTCCCTATGCCAAATGCGGGGCTAGCTCTGCCTAAAGGTATTCCGAGTTGTTGGTACCTCAGCGAGGTGTCAAAATGTGTAATTAGATTAATGGCAATGTTTCTAATTTCAGCGCAATTACATGTACGCAATTCTGCCTTTCCAGTGATGCTTAAGAGTACCTATTTATTTGGTGGGAGAGAGGTGGGTGTGTAATGCCTTTCAAAGTTTCCAACTCTGTTATTTTCAGGAACGTGGAAGAATTATTGGTGATGCTGTACTTGTTAATGGTGACATTCAGTAGCAGCGTGTATGGCATCTGGGCATATCTCTGTGCAGCTATTTAATAACAAATCGAAGAAATCCAATTCCTTTCTTCCTGTTTGTTGTCTTGGACATATTTTTATCAAAATGATGTATAAATAGTAAATATTTTTCTCTTGTG